CCCACTTAAAATGTTAAGATTAGCTGACTTTTTAATAGCAGTATCTGTTGAATAAGTTGGCAGAAATATATATTGAATAAATGTAAAAGTCGAATATTATTTGCTTTAAAAGTTGAATTATTTAATAATACAGAACTGGCTTGTCTTGTAAAATATTAGCATGATTCACTGGAGTTTTGTACTCTGTAGCTTAATAAAATATTTAAAGTGCTGCTTACGTGAAGATGTAGCAAGTGCATGTAATGTGATCAATTTTGAAGGGAAGATAGACTATTGCAGATGCTATAAGCTCCCTATGAGATGAAATATAGTGTAATTTCCTGTAAGTCAGTGCCTGGTCAAGTAGTGCAAACAGTTTAGGCTTTAGAAATTAGCTATTTGAGCTCCATAGTTTGAAAAGGCAAGGTAGATAGATATATAGATAATTTAAATCATTTGTGGATGGATTATATTTCAAGAGCATAAGAATTTCTGCATTATCTGGAAGCAGCCTGGATTTGTTGTCAGATGCCATATCCTTCCAAGAGTCTCATAGGAACAGTTTGGCATGGCTCAGTGAGGCAGACAAGATGTGCAAGTCTGATAGCATTACACTTTAAATACTTATAACTCGGAGTTAATGTAGCAGGAGAGTCTCTGACAACTTTGTTAGTAACTCCACTCATTAGAAATAGAGATATCCAAACAAATTTTCTTAACCCACATGAAGATGCCAGACTGACTTTTCTGTCATTATTTTTCCCTCAGCGTTCAGCCAGACCGTGCAACCACTCTGCCATTGTATTCATGGGATTTAAAGTAAAGGAGAATAGCTTAAAGTGAGGAGCTGTGGTGTATGCTGCCTAAGACAGCACATTCCTGAATTCCCACTGCTGAATTCCCACAGCACGCTCCTGGAGTAACTGGCTGATCATGCCATGGACATGTGCACTCTTCAGGGGTAGAAAGTGGCTGAATGGCCGGGTCCAGAGGGTGGTGAGTGCAGTTCCATCCATCTGGTGGCCAGTCACAAGTGGTGTTCCCAATGGCTCAGTGTTGGGAACAGTCCTGTTTAATTTTCCAGTATCGCAGAGGAAGCTGTGTTGGAAGGGACCCACCAAGATCATCGAGTTCAACTCCCAGCCCTGCACAGGACCATCCCCAAGAGTCACACCATGTACCCAAAAATGTTGTCCAAACACTTGCTGGACTCTCTCAGGTTTGGTGCTGTGACCTCTTCCCTTGGGAGCCTGTTCCTGTGTCCAACCACCTTCTGGGTGAAGAACCTTTTTCTAATATCCAACCTAAACCTCCCTGACACAGCTTTAGGCCGTTCCCTTGGCTCCTGTCACTGGTCACCACAGAGATCAGTGCCTGCCGCTCCACTTCACAAGGAAATTGGAGACTGCAATGAGGTCTCCCCTCAGTCTCCCCTTTTCCAGACTGAACAGACCAAGTGACCTCAGCTGCTCCTCATGTGGCTTCCCCTCAAAGCCCTTCACCATCCTCATGGCCCTTCTTTGGACACTCTCTAATAACTTTTTAACCTTCTTACATCACGGTGCCCAAAACTGCACACAATATTCGAGGTGAGGCCTCAGCAGTGCGGAGCAGAGCAGGGTAATCACCTCCCTTGCCCAGCTGATGATGCTTTGTCTGTTATCAACAATCTTTATCAATGATTTATTAATGGAGAGATTAAGTGCTCCCTCAGCAAGTTCAGACACACCAGGCTGGATGGGACTGTTGATCTGCTGGAGTGTGGAAGATTCCACAGAAGTATCTGGACAAGCTGGATCGATGGAGCAAGGCCTGCTGTAAAGGTTAAATAAGGCCAAGTGCTGGGTCCTGCACTTAGGTCACAAAAACCTCCTGCAGTGCTACCAGCTGGGGGAAGAGTGGCTGGAAAGCTGTCTTGCAGAAAAGCCCTGGAAGTGCTGGTTGACTGCCAGCTGAACACGATCCAGCAGTGTGCCCAGGTGGCCAAGAAGGCCAGGTGGCTTCCTGGCCTGTCTCAAAAACAGTGTGGCAGCAAATCAGGAGAGGCTCTTCCCTCTGTACTTGGCACAAGTGGGGCCGCACCTCAAGTGCTGAGTGCAGTTCTGGGCCCCTGGTTCAGGAAGGACATGGAGGTCCTGGAGCAGGTCCAGAGAAGGGCAGGGAAGCTGGTGAAGGGTCTGGAGCGCCAGCCTTATGAGGAGCTGCTGAGGGAGCGGGGGTTGTTTAGCCTGGAGAAAAGCAGGCTTGGGGCGGGGGAGGGGTGGGGGGGGTGTTACCACTCTCTGTAACACCTGAAAGGAGATTGTAGCCGGGTGGGGGTTGTTATCTTCTCACAAATAACAAGCCATAGGACAAGAAGAATGGCTTCAAGTTGCACTAGGGGAGGTTTAGATTGGATATTAGGAAAAGCTTCTTCTTTGAAAGGGTTGTCACACGTCAGAACAATCTGCCCAGGGAAGTGGTTGAGTCATAATCCCTGCAGGTATTTAAAAAATGTGTTGATGTGGCATTTGGGGACATGGTTTAGAGGTGGACTTGGCAGTGCTGAGTTAAAAGTTGGACTCAATGATCTTAAGGGTCATTTCCAGCCTACATTTTTCTAAGATTCACATATAAAAGTTACAATTTTCTTTCATTACGTTGATGCCTGAGGTGGAGTGTCAGAGTTATGACAGTTCACCATCGCTGTCATCTCTGGAGTTTATCTATAGGATTAACTCCTCAAAGGCTTTGAGAATATGGATTACACTCTCTAGAAGTCTGTGGTCTACCAGAGCCAGCATCAATTCTCACTTTCTCAGAGAAAATAAAAAAGGAAAATATCAGTGGCAGACTGTTTTATTATGCTATTTTCTTAAAACTTAAAGTATATTAGAGTTCTAGTCAAGTGCTCATATAATGCTAGTTCCCATTTTTAGTCTGTTGAGCGTTACAGCTGAAGAAGGAGAGTGTGAAAATTGCAGGGTGATCAGGCAGCTTCTTATTTTTAACAGGAAGCTCATATATAGGAGTATTGTTGTATCTATTGTATGGCTATTCTTCTGTCCCCCAAAACAATGCACATTGCACATGGAAAGGAAAACAGCTACCCTTGCATTTGTTGGGGTTTTTTTGGGATCTGTTTGTGAAATATACCTGGACATAGCATTTACCATAGGTAGCCAGAAAGGAAAGAGCAATAAAGGTCAAGTGGCTAAGACACTTATCAGGACTTAATGAATTTACATGATTCTCTGAATCTGTACAATCCAAGTAATGCTGTTGTAAATATTTTTACATAGGGCTAGTTATTATTTTGGTCTTTGCTACATTGAAAAATGTCACAGGTTTTAATGAAGTACCTTCTTAGACAGGATTTAAGCTACCAGAACTTTGTCTTTTGAGATTGTTGATTCTACTCTGAGCTCAGAAGCTAAAAAAAATTGTGGCGTGGCTGTTGTGCCAGTGTAGTGCATAAGCTTCTGTTGCTGCCATCAAGTTGAATATTATTCAGAATGAAGTAACCTATGTAAAATATTTCATGGAATCATGTTTGTAATGCAAATATTTTCAAGTAGAGGGCCTATGCCAAGATGTTGTAATTAATCCGTTAACCTCCCATAGCAAAATCATCTGTAAACAACAAATCTTGTTTATCAGCTGCTGGTATTTTTCTCAGGCTGCATTGGGGCAAACTAATTTCTAGTGTCTCTAACAGTGTAAATTGTTCCATTACTATGCAAGAATCCGAGCATGTGTCCCAGAGAATCAAAGTCCCATCAGCTAAGAAGCAGCTCAGTGCCACATGGTGTAACTAGAAGGGCTTTTCCCCTGCACAGCTGGCTCAGTTAGTGCTGGGTCCTCTGAGCAGTGCTGTATAAGTGACAGGTAGGAGGCAAATAAGCCTGCACTTGCCTTCAGGAGGACCTGGGCATCAGCAATTCATGAGTGTCTCTTAGCTATGACAAAACCCAAACCCCTTTCTGGGTCTATTTAGCTGTGTGTTGGTAAGTTCAAAGTCTCCACAGAATGTTTTCTTACCATTTTTACGTATAATGTATTCATTTTGCTGGGCTTAATTAGGTAAGGGCAAGCCATTTACTACAGGGTTGCCACCATAACAACTTGGTGGGAAACTTCTGGTGCAAAGACCTTTCTTTGAATGAGGTTTTGTTGTTCATAGAGTTGTGCATGAGCATCTGGAGAAAAACTCCAGGTAGAATGTGCCATGTTTAGAGACTCTTTCAAAGTAATTTTGATTGCATGAACTGGATTCTACCATATAGAAGCTCAGGGAGTAATATTTCCTTCGGAAATTTTAATTGAAAAAATAAACTGGTAACTCACAGACTGCTTGACTTTGACTTCGCTTTTCACATCTGTTGCTGGGTTTTGGTCTTCTTGAACACTTAGTAGATATATTTCTTTAGACTATTTCTGCTAGGCTGTAACTAGCTCCTTGTATCCATAATCAGATTTTTTTATGGTAGGAATATGTGCAAGTAGATGTGAGCTGAATACTTAGGACAGAACAGACCCAAAAAAAAATTTTAACTGACTATTTTTGAAGAAGTTGCCAGAAATTTGTAACTCAGAGATTGCTGTTTTCTTTGTACTTAACATAGGAAAGCTGTGATAAGTAGTGTGGACTGCAGTCACATTGCTCATTATTGACTTTTTAATGGAGTTCCCTGTAGTCTGTTACAGAAGCCAACACAAATAAACAGCAGCAGAAAGCCTGTCCCTACTTGTCGGATAAACTGTGAGAGACTTCCTCCCTGCTACACTGTATTTTGGGTAGTTCTGTTTCCTGTCTGGATGCCAGTGTATTATTAATGTTTGGGGGGGCTTTGGTCTTCACTTAAAGGGAAAGTGTCTTTTTACATGTAAGTGTCATGACAAGTTATTGCTTCTATGACCCTTTGTAGATTGGATGTTGTTAGCTATTTGAAAAATGGGCGACATCAAACAAAAGAGTTATGATTGCCTGTGCTCCAGCTTGATATACTTTTATACTTTACCATATGCTCTTTCTTTCACAGGCATTTCCTATTCAAAACAGGAACAGGGACCACACCGCTGTTCAGCACTGCCACGCCAGGGTACACAATGGCATCAGGCTCTGTTTATTCCCCTCCTACTCGGCCACTACCTAGGAACACCCTGTCCAGAAGTGCTTTTAAATTCAAGAAGTCTTCGAAGTACTGTAGCTGGAAATGTACTGCACTCTGTGCTGTAGGGGTCTCAGTGCTGCTGGCAATACTGCTGTCCTACTTCATAGGTGAGTCCCATTTTTTATACTTGTCACTATGAAGAGTGGTGTCTGATGGATTGTACATGGACTGTCACATACTAACCTTTAACTAGCCAAGTCTTTGGTAACACTAAAAGCCACAAGGATTTAATGAAAAGTCGCAATTGTTTTGAGAAATTAGAAAATTTGAATATTTTGCAAGCATCCTGTATCTTGATGGTCAGTGAATTAACTTCAAAGAAGTATTTGAACTACAATTAAATTATGTGGGGTCAAGTACTTATAAAAGTATGTGTAAAATATAGGCTGTAAAAATTCCATGATGTGAATATAACTTTCAGCATATCTTAGAACTCTTTTCCTCTCATTTTGCTGAAATATTGCTAATACTATCTTTAGGAATGCTAACTATCACCTATTTCATCATTACATTCATGTATGTTTGTGTATAGAGCTGGAGCAAAAGTCTAATACAGATATTTGATTGTGAAATAGGGAAAATAATTGTCCAAAAGACAATGTGCAGTGAAGATTTAGACTTCTTCCTCTCTTGTGGGTTGTTTATTTTTAATTAATGCCACTTTTCGCTATTTGTTTGTTAAATTCTGTTTTCCAAATTTAATTTTAGAAGATTTCCTTCATTTCTTCATCTCCTTAATTATTTTCATAAATGTTCACTATAAATAGTATGTAATTTGAGTTTTAGGCAGTTAGTAGGAGCAATGGTTGGCTATGAGAAAATGTCCTTGACTTTAATAACGGAACAGAACAGGATCATTTTGCACTCATAACTTCCTTTGCATCTTTGTGCAGATTACAGATTTTTTAATCTCTTGAGACCATAAATGGTCTTCAAAGACTTTCTTTTAACTGACTTGTTAATTAGAAGTTTAGGTCATCACAGTTATGGAAATATATTGATCTGGTTTTTGTTACTGGTTGGACACAAGTTTAGCATCTTGAGGAGTGTAGGAAAGAAAACAGAAAGAAGAGAGTCAATCTCTCTTTCCTTCCCTCTTTTTAAAATCAGTGGTAATTTATGATAGAGCCTAGAAGGCCTTAAGATCCTTAAATCTTCATGTCGTTGTTCAAACAACCTTGTTGCATTTCAGTGCAAGACAGAGCATAAGCTCCATAGAGCCTTTGAAGTAGTTCTTACTGAGTTGAATCTCCTGTGAACAATGCAAGAAACTGGGTTGCTGAGTAGCTGGAGAAATTCCCCTCTGACCCAGCAAAGCTGAGCCCCTGAGCACCCTTTCCACCTCAGCTGCCAGCCCCAAAGAGCAAAGGATGTATATGCAAATGTAGGGCTTGTAACTGCTCTTCAGCTTCCTTCAGTCATTGGATTTGTGGTTATTTTGTGTGAATGTGCAAGGAGTTTAAAGGTGGGGTTTAGAGTTAAGTTTTGTCACGGAATCTTTTTTTAAGTAGGATTGAAATAATCCCACTTATAAAACACATTAATTGTGCTCAGTCTCTGTAATATAGCCTCATAAATCATCAGAAGTAAACATCTGCTGGTAAATAAATGCATAAATATGCAAGAAAGAATTCGGCATGAAGTATCACTGTCAGAAGCCGGGAAAAACAGCCATACATATAGTAAAACACTGGAGACTGATTGTGAGCTGAGCTCTACACTTTGCCAGCCCCAAAGAGCCAGATTACTTATGAATCTGAGGGGCATGGGAAGACAGCTGTACGGGATTATTTCTCCCACAGGCACACTAAGAAATACAAGCATGTCTAATGCACCTCTATTCCTGTATTCGGGAAAGAGGACAGAGCTTTCCAGTGAGCAAGGGCTGAAAGCTCCACACATCATTTATTCGCATACCCTGTAAAGAAAAGATAGCTGTACAACATTTCATTTCGTGGGCGCGCGCCAGCTCACATCCTAGCTGAAATAATGCACAACAGCCTTCCTCTGCCCACAGTCAATAAGGAGCTCAATGCCTACTGGTGATATTACACATATTTCAGCTAGCTCAGCAATCTGAATGTAAAATTCAGCACTCAGAGATGCTCTCTGGAGAACTTTGTGTCCATAAAATGACAAATGGATTGCACTCATTCATATATGTGGTTTTCCCATCTCTGAAGATGTAATATCAGAAATATTCCCCGTTTAATAGGCCAGCCAAGTATAAATGAGTAGAAATCATTAATATAAGATGGAAGCACTCCTTCATCTTAGTTGACTGTTTCATAGAATGGTTTGGGTTGGAACAGATATTTAAGATCATTTTGTTTCAAACCGCCTGCCATGGACAGGGACATGTGCTAGATCAGGTTGCTCAAAGCACCATCCAGCCTGACCTTGAATACATCCAGGGATGGGGCATCCACAGCTTCTCTGGGCAACCTGTTGCATTGTCTGACCACCTCACAGCAAAGAATTTATTCTTAATATCTAATCTAAACCTGTCCCATTTCAGTGAAAGCCATTCCCCTTTCTCCTGTCTTTGTGAGAAGTCCCTCTCAGGTCCCTTTCAGGTCCCCTTTGGGTAATAGAAGGCTGCTGTAAGGTCTCCCCAGAGCCTTCTCTTCTTCAGGCTGCACCACCCTCCTCCCTTTTAGGAGTCTATGAAACATGTCCTCAGAGGAGACATGTTTCATAACATAGGTGTGAAAGGGAAATGACTGAGTAGGAAACTGGCTGTAATATTAAGAGAAGAGAGGGATTGCAGTGTTGTATGTGACCCCTAGCACCCTGTGATATGCCTCCAATACAGTGGTCTGTCATCTCTGCTGAAGTTTACAGCAGCTGAAGTGGCATGTCACATTTGTATAGCCAGTTTGAGACATGTCTTGTACTTCACAGAGATATGTTGCCACAAGTGTGAAAATGTAACCACCTTGTAGTATTTGCATGAAAGTATGAATTCAATATGAAGTATCACTGTCAAGAGCTGGGAAATCACCTGTTTTGCAGCATGATTGCAGCAGAATATGCTGGTACACGTTGATAAGGTGTGGCTGATGTCTGTGGTGTGCCTGTGGCAGCTGCAGACAGAAGGACTAATAGACCACTCTTGCCGTGAGTGGTGGTGTAACCCAGCCCTTCTCAGAAGTGCAGAGATGAACGTGTCATGCCCAGGCTTATTTTAGTTACAGTGAGTATGGGGTAGAGAAAGTGACTTGAGATCTTGCTGCCTCTGCTCAGGCGACATAAGGCAGAGGAGACAGTTTGCTAGACTTCATGTCTGCCTTTGCAGAGCTGCTCAGTCAATTACTGCTCCGTCAATTAGCCCAGCCAGAGGAAGGAGCTGCATCAAGTCTGGTATGTCTTGCACTTCTTCCATCACTCTGACAGGAAAGACTCCTACGTTTACAAAGTCTGCAAAGATGAGGTGAGAGCAGAGAGTGTCAGCATGGGTAGAGACCAGAGCAGACACTACACTCTAAAGCCACTTAATGCAGTCTTGGGGACCACAAGGAATTGAAAATGTTATTTCAATCTAAAGGAAAGACTTCCCAGGAATTCTTGCATTTCTAGCCCACGTGGTCTCTCTCAACCATTCTGAATGTACAAGATACTTAAACTTTCTATTCCTGTCAATTAGACCTGCTAAGAGAAAATAGGAGGGAGTTGTGGAAAATGTTGGTCCTTTGCTTTGAGGCTTTATCTACTGTTAAATGGTTGTCAAAGAAATAAAGCAACAAAAACACGCAAGTGCTGAACCAAAAGATAGTGTATTAACATACAGAAGACAGGAATTAGAAATAGCTCTAGTTTAAAGTCAGGGATTCGAGGAAAAGCTCCCAGAAATAATGGATTACAAAATGGAGAGTGAAGAATTTAAACTGCCTTATTTTGGGATCAAGTTTACACTGGAATTTCTTTAAGCTGCTCATTTGCTTAACTTCTGTCTGTAATCAGATTTGCAACCAAGGAAAAAAGCGACCTTTTTTTTCCAACATGAAGATTTTAGATTCTTCTTCCCCTGTTTGGAGGACTGACTGGGAAGAGCAGTATTAAATATAAGCCATTAAAGAGTAAGAAGAATGAAATTGCGTTTGTTTGACCTCTTTCTATATAGACATTAACAGCTTTAACCAGCTTGGTACAGAGTGTCCGTGTGAAACCAGAAATAGGGTTCAGTTTTACTATGTGGAGACAACACAGGACTTTGTTTCCTTTGTCTCCCCGTGGCTTACTGCCTCTTTCAGCATCCATCACTTGCAGTGAATGAATGAATAAAAGGAAAGTTCTGAAGAGCACCTCCTAGGTCAAAAATAAGCACCAGGTCAAAGTTTCATATGTAACCACCATCCTTCAATTCCACGTTTTGGGATTTTCCCTCTCCGCGTAGGTTTTACTAAGTGAAGGAGCTTAGTTGTTCTTGGATGTGATTTTTCCTAACAGAAAAATCCACTGTGTAATTATAGGGAGCTAACCAGTCAGGAGGAGTTGTTTCCAATATGTTGTTACATATCACAGACTCTGACCAGCTATATTAACAAACTGATTTGTACTGTACTAATTATTTCTGCTGGAGTGTGGATTCAGCAATTAATGGATGAAATTAATGAGAATTTGGGGACCTCAGAACCCCTCTTTCTTCCCCAAGAGTCACTCTAGCAATTGATTCTTCGTTGCCAATGGCACTGTCTTGACATTTTGTAAATCAATATAAGAAATTACTGCCATTTTCACTGTACATGGAAATGAAGAGGGGAGCAATTCAGTTCCTCGGTCAGTGCTGGAACTGCACAATACCACATTCAGTCAACTAAGCATGAAGAGCTGTACACTGAAAAATTGCAGGCATCTGACATGAATTTTGTCTTATGTCTGCTAAATAAGTTTCCATGAACATAAAACATCATTTGAATGCACAGTAGGATGTGAGCTGTTTAGTCAGGCCTTTCCTGTCTTGACTGCTTCACGGCAACCTGTCATACTTTGAAGTTATTGAGCACTTTGCTCTTTGTGTAACTTGGGGTTGATCATTTTGATAGCCTTATCTCAGCTATCAGTGGTCAGAACAAGAATATACACCAGTCAGCTATTCATTGTGATA